GTGGCCTGCACTTGAACTCGGGTCGCCAGCCTAAAAGCGCAATACACGCGAACTGCTGCACCACTGCTCCAGCCCATACAGTACTAAATTAGTCTGAAATGAAATATGAAATGTATACGTACAATTGAATATACATATACAATTATGCGTTGTGTATAATTTCTCATTCATGAAAAATGTTTCACAATGATCTACGACAGGCAAGATGTCAAAAACATTTTTTATGGGTGGGGGTGTTCGCCCATGCCTTTTGCACGCCCCCCCCACGCCCCCACCCCCCCACCCCCAGACCCTGGGTCACTGGGAGCTGTTGTATGACTATACAGACACCTGCCATAGAAACGTGGAATTTCCTTCACTACTTACGAGTCACCAACAGACATGAGCGCTACGCCACGCCCACTGGAGTAGGACGGTGGCGGGAGGGGGAGCACTTTAACTTGTTCGTTTTCTCCCCCCCGCTCCCTGCCAGCTCCTCCATAAAAACTGGACGTGATCTCAATATGCGTTCCACTTGGCTACCAAAGTCTGTTGGCTTGGCTCACGGAATTATAAATTCATGAATTAATTAATTTCCACTCCGCTCCACCGCTCTGACCTTGACTGGGCAGAGTGCCGGCGAAGGGCGCGCGACCAGCGCGGCGTGCCCCAGGTCACCCAGTCGACACGTGCCGCTGTACGCCGGCGCCAACGTCGATACCGCAGGGCGTGACGCCGCATGGATGGATTCGTGCATGGTGGCGGGAGAGACCCTTGCCCAACAGGCTCCTAGGTTATGGCGCGGAGAGAGTTGTTTCATCTTCTTGGTTCTTTCGGTAAAGTCGCGTAGAAGGGAAATAATAAAATAATAAAAATAAAACATAATCAAATACAATTCTCACGACGTTTCGGCCACAATGCAAGCAGCCGTCCTCAGGTGAAGAACAGGTCTGTCCTCCACATTTAGAATCAACATCACGCAGGGCTGTCGGAAAGACAGACGCTGTCTTTCCGACAGACCTGTTCTTCACCTGAGGACGGCTGCTTGCGTTGTGGCCGAAACGTCGTGAGAATTGTATTTTATTATGTTTTATTATTATTTTATCATTTCCCTTCTACGTGACTTTACCGAAAGAACCAAGAAGATGAATCCCTGCAGTCACGAAAGCTTTAAATCGAGAGTTGTTTCACTTCACGGCCAACCGAGGGCTGGTATTAAACAAATAATAGCTTTGGCTGGATTGATGGAGTTTTCTGGAGCAAGCAAAAAAAAACCAGGCCCAGATGTCTCGTCCGTGGATGTGGCATGGGTATCGTTGGAGAAGCGTGTGAAGGATGTGGCGATATTGAGGTTGGTGGATTGTACACAGATCTACCAAGTGTAAGCCACCAACCGGTAGTATGTTAAGGTGGTGCCAATTGAAACTAAACTAAACAATGTTTTATTTTACCAGGTAAGGCCCACTGGGCTGTTTGGCTCTTTTTTCAGAAGCGACCTGGCCACAAATGATAGCTACAAAGTGGCTTATCACGAGGACATTTATAGCAGCCATATACTCTAAACGCATGATGTTGATTCTAAATGTGGAGGGAAAAAACCGGCGGACCCGGAGTCAAATCCATGCGACCACGGGGAGAGAGACAAACAAACTCCAAATATGAAGGCATCAGGGTCGTGATTGAAACCATGGCCTCCAGCATACCAGGCGAAGCAGATAACATCTCACCACACCGTGGAGCCCATTTGGAGAGACGGTACATCATGAAGGATGCTCTGCTGTTCGTCTGGAGTTTGGCTCGATCCCTTCATAGACGTGGGTTACCTCCAGGCACTTCAGCTTTCCTCCGGAACGAACAAAACATCAGGAATTGGCTGATTGCGAGGCTCAGCAAGGCTCAGTAAAGGCTTACGGAAGGATTATTGAATTCGACTGTGTACACAGAATGTGTTATTTGCTTGTGCTGAGCCCGCGTGGTGGCAACACGATTGTAGTCCAGGAATTTGGAAGCGAGGGCTGGTGGTAGAGGGCTGGTTGTACCAGCCCCTTAGAGATGGGGGGGGGGAGAAGGCTAGCAGGGTGGGGGTGGAAAGGGCTGAGTACCCCCCCACCCCGAAACACCAGTAATGACAATTAAGCGACGGGCAATCACAGCCTTCCATCATGGAGGCAGAGAGCTGGTGCAGAATGCACGGCAGACAAAAGCTGATCGCATCATTACTCATTCTGTTTCACGTTTGATTAAATATTTTTTGTGAACATTGCATATATGTCGGGCCCCCTCCTCCCCTCCGCGAGAAAACAAGGTCGTGCTACAGGCCTGGGTGGATCACAGACGTGTGTGAATCTCTCAGCTACCAGGTGGTGGTAGCACAGATCGTGGACTGAATCCATCTGTGCGGAGCTCTTGAGTGTTAACCCATGGCACAAGCTCCAGGATGCCTCCCGCGTGCCGCGCGTCGTTATCATGGGTGGCCAAACGTTGTCACGAAGGGCCCTCATCCTGAAAAAAAGAACCCTGTGGTTGCTCGTGAGGATTACCTCGATAAAAATCCAAAGGGAAATTTAATTAATTTAAGCTCACCGTTTGTACAAGGATGTTCACGGTGCACCACGTCACTATTAACCTAATGAGAATATTCAACGTGCAGCAGTAAAGGAATTAAATATATATGTGTACCAGTCATAATTTATATAAATTCCCTGTGGACAGTTGGCAGCATAACAAGCCTTGTTATTAATCGATGGCATGCACAGCGGTGGCCAACAACAGTCTGCATAACCGACACCGGAGGTACTGTCGGAAAATAGACAAATGCATGCATGCATGGGGAAATATTTTAAAACGCAATATTTTTAGTGGTTTGCTAATTTGCCCTCTGCTTGACGCAGGTCACCAATGCACAGACATCCCATCATCCTCTCAGTTCTCCCGTGCACAAATTCGAGGCATCGTATTGGCTGTAAAAAAAACGAGTTAGCGGACCTGACCGGGACAGATCGCTCGAAGGGACAAAGGCCGATCGACGAGACAGGAAACGTAATGGCAAAGGGAACACACCCTACGTATGTCTGTATGTATTTTTAACTTCTTTCGCACTGTACGTAGCCAACCATACTAACCGCAGGTGGGAGGGAGACGGAGCTATAAGATGAATTCTTGGAATACTTGCTAGGCACATTTCAACACTAGATAGACCACGTGATTGCTGGCTTGCAATGGGAAAACCCTGCTAACTTAATCTGGATGATGTTATCATCTACGTAACCTCTCCACAACAACACCTGCGGCCATCCTGCAACGTAATAACAATAATCCACGCAGCGCGCGCGCACGAGTCTGATTTCGCCGCTTTCTCTCGGATGCTTTTCCACTCAGTCCGGGTGCCACCGCGTCATTACTCTTGAGCGTTATTATTTCCGCGCTGAACGCGCAAACCCATAAATCGCAGAGACGACGGCCTGGAGCAGTGCGGTCTCAAGGGACGCGCCGCTGTCGCTAGCCTGGCCTCGCCGTGACGTGCAGATGTTTGGGGGCAACGCTGGGGCGCGGGCGGGCAGGCGGGTGCGCGTGGAGCCATGCGTCGATGCTCTGCTGACGCACGACCTCGCGGTAATAGCCGCCCACACCGCCTCGTTTCAACGAGCCTCGTCTATTGAGTCAACCGGGTGGCTCAGCGCTGGAGTTGGAATCCTGGTTGGAGCGGGGCAGGGGGGTTGACTCAGCCCGTCATCTCCCAGGGGTATATAAAGTAAGTGCCACTCTGTGGGGAAGTAAACGGTGATTGTCGCATAAATATACTTGTCACTGTCATAGGAATGTGGAATCTCCGTCACTGGCTCAGTGATGTAAACAGGTGACGATCACAAATGCCTCGGTGCTCACTTGAGCAGGAAATTGCTTCAACTGATTTAATGAAGGGCCACGCATGAGATGCTCTGTAATGTTGCAAAACATTAAGCTGCGTTGGTAAATTAATCCGTGCGTTATCATCACTGTTATCGTCAACATTATCATTAGTTGTTATGTATTTATATACTGGTTCATAATTAGTTTAGTTTGGTCCAGGTCAATCTCTTAACGATAGCCCTCCACCACCCGACAGAGCGAATCAAATAAAATCGCCACGTGGGGGAAAATTCGCCACTTAATTTTGTTTATCAGTAAAACTGGAATGTGTTGAAAAGCAAGCAAAGAGTTTGACAATGTTGTGTGACGTTTCGCTACAGATTGGCATCATCATTATAATCACCAAAAATGGCTTAATTGTGAATGACGATGGTGTTTGTTTCTCTGAGAGGAAAGAGAGATCTCAACATTTCAGCCAACTGGCCCTCTGTTAGTGTTAATTAACATGCTGTTCGTTGAATAAGGTCACAGACGCAAGCAGCAACTTTGAACCTTATTGCCGTAGCAAAAAATGCCACTGAAAATTCACTGCCCAAGTCCCCTGGGAGACTCATTATCCTCTCCCCCATGCACACACACACAGTAGACACACACACACAAAGATACAGAAGGGACACTATACATAACATGTAGACACACGAAGTCCCATACACATTCACGCAGAATCACAGACGTACGTGTACAGCTACACATATATATATAAATACAAAGATCCCCCATACAGCCTTTAACAGACTGTCGGGGCATGTGCTGCTAGCGAACACCTTTAAAGGCTTTTGTGTGTCTGTGTGTAGAGGACTCATGAGTGGTGGTGTAGTGGTTAGCGCACTGCGCTACGAACTCGGTGACCTGGGGGTCGATTTCCGCTCACGACCACCATCAGCGACGATTATCTGAACTGGTCCTGGGCCTCCTCTAGGTCGACTGAGTCTCAAATGAGTACCTGGTGTGGTGTGTAAACATCGCCACTGGGGAGACAAAGGCGGCTGGGCGTGGTCCTGGTCATCCACCCCCTCGTGTGCCGTGCTGGCCCTCATAGGTGCTCGCTAACAGCACTTGACCCAACAGTTGCTTAAGGCTACACGGGGGATCTTTGTCTTTGGAGCACTCACCATGTCGTACACATTGAGCACCACCGGCTCGTTCGCCATGCTTCCCATTCAGCCACAGCCCTGTCACACACAGCACAGGACACAACAAAAACACAGATAAAGATCCCCAGTATAGCCTTGGCAGACTTTTGGGGCAAGTGCTGTTTGCGACCACATTTGAAGGCTGGCACGGCACACAAGGAGGTGGGAGACGACCTAGCGGATGTCCATGCACCAAACGTATGTAACTTGGCCATCGTGTCCCGAGCGTCATGGGTACATTTTTTGGCAACTTTGAAAAATGTACCCCCAAAAATAATCAGTTAGAATTATATACTCAACATAGCAATCATCGTGGCCCCCCCATACTGTGAACACGAGTCATGGGACTCAATGAGGATATTTAGGGTAAACAATACAATTCATAAATTACATCACACGCACGAAATTACACATCAGGTGCAGGCGCATGCAAAAACGACCACGTACACACATGCTGAGTAAGGCGCGAGAGGCCCGGAATGGAGGAATCGCCATGGAAATGTATGGCCGATGCCTCTGTGGTGTGAAACGTGTCAATGCCAATGCTGGTTGATAGAGCAGCCGGCTGAATTTGGTTACCAAACACCAGGACTGTCACTGAGATCACTGCGACTACCACTCGGACTAGGAGGGCCCACCAGAACTTACCAGCAGGACCATCACGACCACTGGCGTCACTGGCGGAGCCAGTGAGGGGCGGAGGGCACGTGCCCCCCCAATGATCATTGGGGTTTATTAGTAATAATGTGGCATTTTGCGACCCCCACTGCCACTGTGTAGCAGGGACTTTATGAGATGATAGGACAATAGTCTGAGTTCTTAATTGGCAATAAGTAACGGCAAAGCAGTTATAAGTGACTCACAGAATTGTGTGCAGTTGCGTATATAGGACACGACTTCCCTGAAGGCATTCACCTTCAGCGAGCGCGATGCCAATCACACACGGTTCGAATTCGACCCTCCATAGATGGCTGTGCCATCGCCGCACACGCGTCGAATAAAAAGCAAGAAACAAGTCCTTACTCACTAACAACTCCTTACTTACTAACAACTCCTATCACTTTTCATTGCTGGAGGGGTTGCCCCCACTACCTGAAAATCCTGGCTCCGCCATTGACCTGCACCAGCGAACCGCAGGGACCACCTAAATGTTGAACTTCTTTCGCACCGTACGTAGCCAACCGTGCTAATTGGAGGTGCGGGGAAGGACAACAAAATTGAACACAAAAAGCAGCTCTAAAGAAATGAGTTTTCATCTATATTCTAAAAAATGCATAGCTCCAGTGGCTTCCTGATATCGAAAGGAATAGCGTTGCAGACGGCCGCAGAAGCACATCTGAAAGAGAACGATGTGAGTGACTGCCAAAAGCTGATGCTGCTGCTTCGAGGATGACCGGAATTCGCGTGATGGTTTATGCTGCTTGAGATAAATGACTGCAAAACCCCCTCCCCGTGCACACACAGGTACAGTGAGTCCCTTGAGATACCAGGGAAATTCAGAGGTGGTTGAGTGCCAAATGGTATAGTGCTCGTTGTCTTGACAATCCCGTTAATTCGACGAAAGCCACACAAACTATGGCAACAGACGCGGATGCTGGACGACGATGACGATGATGATGCACAAATGGCGAGACCGTGGTCACCACCCAGAATAGACCCCTGGGACGTCTAACAAACAACGATTCCAATGCCCGATTAACAAACGCGTTTTTTTGTGTTTAAGTTTGTTGTACTTCCCCCGCACACCTTCTCCGATTAGCACGGCTGTGGTTACGCACGGGACGAAAGAAGTTCAACGTACATACCAAGGAGGGGGCCATCATCACAGCGGCGGTGATTCACCACTCCGCTACTCATGGCTCCAATGATCCTGACTCAACCACCTCGATGTAAAAATCACAGCTGCTGCTCGACAACAGTAGTTCTTAACCTTGACCGCAGCCTTGCACCCCTTTGGTTTTCAATCGTAAAAAATGTGATAATGGTAATACATACGTAGGTTTGATTAAACAAAGTAGTTGCACATTACATTGTGCTTCGATGATTTACCTTCTAAAACACATTCCTGCGGAGGGAGCTGGTAGGAGCGTTGAGTTGCTCGGTCAATGGCCAGGGTCAACGGCGGCGTGGTGTATTCCGCAAATATGCCCGACTGTGAGGGCGGGCACAAGCCGGCGTGAGTAGGCTAAACGTTGAGTTTTATAAGGGCACCACGGGGTGACCAGCCCCTCCCCACCCAGCCCCTCCCCACCCAGCCCCTCCCCCCCTCCCCACCCAGCCCCTCCCCACCCAGCTCCTCCCTACCCAGCCCCTCCCCACCCTCCCCTCCCCGCCCAGCCCCTCTCCACCCAGCCCCACCCTTCCCATTTTTGGATTCACGATGAACGGACGGACACAATAATCCCCTATGGGCTTGTGGAACCAGGAGGTTCCTACCAGTAAAACTCTGGCCATGTCTCACACACACCAGAAAGGGCATCTCGCACCGTCCGTGGGGTGCGTAAGCCCCAGGCTAAGAATCACTGTTCTACATCAACATTAGCCGTACGAAGACGAGGAAGAATCAGGGGCGGTTTCTTCATTAGGGCGATTGGGCGACGCACCACCAATGTCATTGAACCACAGAGTCACGCTAGCCGTCACTGCAGCCTCTGGATATAGTCCAATCAGCGTCATGTCACGTTCTGTGGAGTACCGCCTCTTTTGGGGCGATTTCACTCCGGCTGAGAATCGCCCCGAGTGGCCCCATAGACTTACATTCAAAGATGATTTTTTTCGAACGGGGGCGCTCCAATGCATTTTCTATGGCTTCCGGGAGGGCAAGCCCCAACGTGCTTACGTCATCATACGTGCTAACGTCATCATACGTGCTTACGTCATTATACGCAAACACGTTTCATCTAACAATATAATTTATCGCCACCTAGTGGAATCTTCTTCTTGGTTCTTTCGGTAAAGTCACGTAGAAGGGAAGAAATAAAATAATAAAAATTAAACATAATAAAATTATTCTCACGACGTTTCGGCCACAACGTTCCACTCACTGGCATGGTGCAGTGTGCAGAGTAATGTATGGTGTCGTAATTGTATAGTAAATATATAGCAGTGTGATACACATTAGGGTGGGTAGAATAATACATAGTGTTATATTAAAATGGATAAGGCAGCAACTGCAGCAGCAGCAGCAACTGCAGCAGCAGCAGCAACTGCAGCAGCAGCAACTGCAGCTCCCTTTGATGCTGTTAATCCTGCATAATGCTCATGCATATGCAGTACTAATCACATTCCTGCATTTCCCATAAATATGCTAAATTCCTCTTGATATGCAAATTCCTTTGTCAAGGCGCCCAGCTTATATATATGCTCCAAGCTCGTGTGCTGTTTCATTCAGACTCTGTCGCCTCGACGGACCTGGTTTTCACCTGAGGACGGCTGCTTGCGTTGTGGCCGAAACGTCGTGAGAATAATTTTATTATGTTTTATTTTTATTATTTTATTACTTCCCTTCTACGTGACTTTACCGAAAGAACCAAGAAGATGAATCCCTGCAGTCATGAAAGTTTTAAATCAAAATCTAGTGGAATCTTTAATAAAATAAACTTGAGTGGTTTGTTTTAAAAGTGAGTATAGAAACAAACAAGATGTATTGTAAGAGTCACTTTATTTTTCATTAATATTAAAGAAGTGAAGTTGCCTTTACATGCTTAAGCTGTTAATTTATCCATTGCATGGGTGGACCTTATCCTTATCAATCATCCAGACATTTGCCCCCCCTGAGAGATTTTGCAGGAGCCGCCACTGCCGTAATATAACATTCACCCTCAACTGTATCTTTAACATATAGGGGGATATAGTGCATCATAATCTGGAGAATACGGTAACACTCTGTCAGTCCACTCCTCTCCATGACTACGGTATCATGACGGTGAACAAGTGGGACACACTTTGCAAATCGTGAATTCAGTGGAAACTTTTACAATGCGTAGTAAAAAACGTTTAGACTGCTTTTCATAACCTGTTGTCAGTTGCTTTGCGTTCTTCATCCTCCCCGCCACCACCATCCTCCTCCCTGCCTCGACTACATCTCTTTGTTTCCATTTGCGTAGGAGGTCAACGAAGTAATTTCCTGCTCAAATGAGCAACCAATCTCCACCCCCGGGGTACAACGAGACGACTGCCCGCTCCGTGAATGTGCTCAGCGACGATCCGTGTGACACGCTGTTGACGGGTGGGCCCTGTGACCGGACTCCCGTGGTGGTCTCGGGGATCTTCTCTCTAGATTTGGAGCTTTCGTGACTGCAAGGATTCATATTCTTAGGTTTTTTCGGTAAAGTCACGTTAAAATTTTTACTCACGTGACTTTACCGAAAAAGGTAAAACATTTAATTTAAAATTTTTACCCACGTGACTTTACCGAAAAAACTCTATCTACATTTGGCAGGACGGGCATACAAATAGCAATACACATATAATGTGTTGTGCTTATCATAAGTTGAAAAATATTTAAACATTAACTGAGAAGTCCTGTACATGTGCTCACTTGTTAAACGGTTCCAAATACCAATTGAGGCAAGAAAGTGCGTCTTCAGAGGCAATAAATGCACACCTGAGTTCGTACAGACGATATGCTTGACACAAGACAAACTATTATTGGGGTACTCGAGCAGAACTCTCTGTTAACTGTTATGGCCTTCAGAAAAAAATACAAGAGATGTCAGGGACACATAAATATACCTCTGCAGAGTTTCTTTGTCGTTAAACAAGATTAATGTTTTACTGCTTTAGTTAATTCTACGAGGGTGATTAATAATAATGTGGCAGTCGAGCTTTTCTCTCAGTGAGGTATGGCGTAGAAGAAGTCTGCTAGTGAATTAAGTGCGAAGCTTCTTGTTTTGATGCTTGCCTCTCTTTGAATGGCCCTTTATTCACGCTTTTACGCTATTGTCCAGCTCGGGAGCATTGCCGCTGCTGTGAGCAAGCACGAGCATCATGTGTGGGCAAGGTAGTGGTCATACACGGTAGATGTGTTGGTTAATGGA